AAAGCATTACGGTCGTCACATACATACATATATACGTCTACTGAAGCTGAAGGGTGGTAGAAACTTGAATTGCGTCTAGGCTGATCGTAATAGTGAACCAGCTGACTTCCAGCAACGCAAAAGTCTTCAGTTGCCCAACGCTTGGGCCTTGTTATAAAATCTTCAGTAGAACAGGTATGAGAGTGTTATAACTATTTCACATTCTGTGTAAGCACGTCGTGTTTATTTATCTGTTTTGACACTGTTTTCTAAGAACAAATTACTGATTTTCTTGAAATGATTCTAGTTCAATTTTCAAGCATAATTTAACCGGCGATTGGATTTTGTTGGCCCAGGACAGGGACCGGTGGATGGCTTTGGTTAATTCGGTGATGAACATTCGGGTTCCCTAAGCCAGCTACTTAGTTAGTTAGTTTAAACAACAATTTTCAGTAGATGTGATAAGTTCTGCTAACGTATTGTAATGTTAGGTTGTACTACTTAGAATCATGCTTATTTATTTCTGCCATCAAATTCGGAAAAAATAGTATGGCTTATATTCAACAGTAATTTTAATAAATGCGAATACAATTTAATTCCTAAAGCGGAAAAACACCTTCTGGTACAATATTACAATTTTAAAATTGATATACAGCCAAATTTTATCGTAATACTCTAATTAAAGTAAAAAATACAACATATTTTTACAACATATTTTCCACAGGGTCCTACTTTCAAAATCTTACTGATTTGTAATTCGTATTTTAAAGGGCGAGAATATTACCCAACTGAAAGATAGGCGATGAATTACAGTGGAATTAAAGTTAAAAGGAAGATGAATAAAGTAGTAACACTTCCAATAAATACTCGTAATTAATTTTGGAATGAACAAGGGCGAAATTTTAAAATTATTAAAATTTTAAATTTCCCTTAAATAAATATTATGTGTTAATAATAGGTTAGGTTTCGCTATAACGCAGAACTCCAGAACACATGCTACCTAATAAAGCCAGAAGAATAATTTATGTCGGAAACAATTTTTTCTATAATAACAAATGAAAAATCTTGACAATTCACTCAATTTTCACACATATATTTTAAGAGTTATTTACACTTTTGCGCACTTAACAGATTTAGGCGTTTGCCTTTTTTTTTGCGTCTGTTTAAACGTTTAACAGGATCAAATATATTGTTTCTAACAGCTGAAGGAAGACTCCCTTTGAAGAGATGGTACGATTATATTTAGTGCCGCACGTGGCGTTAATAAAACACAGGGATCGCATTACCTTAATGCCTAAGTGCTTACCAAATAAACACAAATATTTAGCTGTAGTAATCGTTCTTAATTACATCATACGCTCTGATAATTATATATAGTTTCATAAAAGTTTGTGAACTAGTAACAAATAATATTTATTCCCGTATTTATTGTCACGTGAGTAATAGATCGGCACATAAACCGAAGACACACTCAAACTATTCGTTAATATTTCGTGTAAAATTAATGGCGTCGTTCAACATGACAGTACATTCTTGATATTACATTTTAAGTCAAGGACCACGTCAATAATTAACTTTTTAGAGGCAAGGGAAACATGGTAATTTATATTCATAAAATAACCTGGACTGATAAGTAGACCAGAGTTATAAACCTGACAAGACCTGATACATACAGATTGGCCACCAGTGTAGAAACATAAAAAAAGAGCCCTCTAACGGCTGTAAAATTGTCAATGGTAGTCCCCTGCGTTGTGACACCTTGTGGTATTTTAGGTGGTTACCAACATTTCGGAGGAACGTATCACCTCCATCTTCTAGGTAATGTGAAATCGGAGGTGATACATCCCCCCGAAAAGTTGGTAACCACGGCGTAACATAGCCAGAGGACCACCGTTCCCATTACAGAATCGTTTTTTGATATCAGTAAAATGGCCTCTTATGTTGATACATGAGTCTGTTTATGTTTACTTAACAACGATTTCACAATTTGTATGTACAGTATACAATGTGATAATTATTAAAATTATATATTATTACGATCATATATAATTATGTGGAAAGAAATATGGGGGGGGGGGGAAGCTAACGTGATATATTTTGAATGACTAACCTCTTCATTTCACCTTTTACATTTTGCGTTTGTGCTATTAAAGAACTGCAGTCACATACGTACTTAGGAAGCCGAAAAGTCGTTACGTAATCAATAAACACATACATCACAATTCGATTTTGAAACTCGATGTGTTGTGGAAGAGTCCATTATCTGCGAAGGCACAACCACACTACACATAATGCTAGTCTGTGCATACGACGTTATCATTCACAAAGATAGCTGTGTTTGATTTATGTGCTCCTAACTACGGACAGGTGCAAACTTGCGTTGTGGCATACAGACATCTATTTAGAAACTACTGTCGCGTTCAAACGAGAAGCCCGCTTAAATTTCGTGTTTTCAAAATATCGTACCACATTCATTTGCAAATAGAAACTACGAATTCGTTGTTCATTTCTATACAGAAACCGAAACATGCTACTTATACTTGCTGGATTTTATGAATGAGCGTAAGCGACTGTCAGCTTCTCAAGAAAGAACCTACTTCGAGGATTTCGTTATTCCAAACTCACGAGATGTAGAACATTTTCATTTCAAAGGACAAAATTATGATACTGAAAAGATTTTTTTAAAAAATTTGAAAGCATGGAGGCTTAAATCAAGTATTTCATATCAGGCTTAATAAATCTAGTAACAATTTATATATGTGCATATATATAATATACGCCGCAAACATTTTGTCTGGGAACTATGTCCTATTTCGTCATGTATTCCTCTGTTTAGATAATACACACCAATACCTTACCGATAAATCTGATCAGCAAAGCAGAGCGGATGTTTGAATTGGGGAGGGTCCCCTATCTTCCACAAATTAAGGTGAAGCCAAATTTAAATTCACAATCACATTTAAATGGTACTTGTGGCTTGTGAATTCGTGTGGTTTACGATGTACTGCAAGCTGCTGTAAATTTTGTTTACAAGAATTAACAGTTGTTCTCTGTAATCAGTTGTTAATCCACGCACTTGTCTGTAAGTAAGAAATGAGAAAGTCTGAATTATCTCATGTCTAAGTGACCGTAAAATAACAAATACAAGAAAGCTATCCTCTCCTTGAAGATAAAACTTTAACAAATAGACATGAAATATGATTATGTACGTTAGAATTTCTTCCAGGAATAAAACAATTTTCACCTAAATACTCGAAACACGGCATACAAAGTTTATTTTAGTTTCTCTGGAATCCTACTGAAAGCCAAGATCTAACAACGTGTAGTCTGCTTGAGGGCTGTATTACAGCATATGGTACGGTCACCACGCAGAATAATGGCAAGCAGTTACTTGCTAAAATGTAAAAGGCAGGTCTGAGCAGCTTAACACCTTCAAAGAGACCCCGTTCTTCTCTCAAATAACTAAATATTCACTATTCATATATATCTACTTAAATTACGCCTGTGTCATTCAAAATCATCCACCCAACCACATAATTCATAATTATTCACCCACATACCTTACTATTATCCGCTAATATCATTCATAATTATTCACTCACACTATTCATAATCATCCATCTGCATACTAAATAATCATTTGCTTATATCTTTCATAATCATCCACTTATCATTCAGCCATAAAATATATTATAATCCACCAATAACATTCGCGTATTACATAATCTTGTAATCAGACAATGAACTTCGAGGTTAAGTGGTTAGAACCCCTGGTCCTTATTCAATGGGTCACTAATTCAATCACCGGCAAGTACCTCAAATGTAACTTAAATCACCCCACAAAAGCTTCCTTGTATATACATTCCACGTCATTATTCATTGTCCATCCTATCATTCGAAGTAGTATCACATGAGCTACTGATAGAGTCGTTAAATAAACAACAGACAATACAAAATATTTCACCCACATAAAGCATAATCATACATCCTTATAACCTTATGTCACATAGCCTCTGATCTTTAAGTATGTAATCTAAAATTCTGTCGTATGTTAGAGAGAGGTTAATAGAATAGTAGATCTATGTAACACTGTCATTTAAAAACACTGGCAGTACCATTTAAAACGCAACCTAACGATAATCACGTGACACGACACATAAAACCAAAATCAGGTCTACCACCGGCTTAACAAACTCTCCTAACCTTACCCGTGACAGTAGAGTCAAGGTCATTCAAATTCCTAGGCTGCTGTTCCTATATTGACATGGATACAGTATTTTTTTCCCAAAACTGGTAACTGCCTTAGGTCCCACACGACGTCACAAACCAGAAGCACAATATCGATATCATACACTAGCATTTCTACGTCCTCAGTAATCTATGTACACCCACTAAAGTAAACTGGCGTGACGTTTGAATATTTCCTCGCTTCGACGAACATAAAATACGGCCCGCTCCACAATAAATGTGAGGGTATATATGGCAACCTACACATTTTATGTATATCCGTTAACATAACATTTGGTGACCGTATCGCACACTATAAATTGTTTGTCCTCCTCCGATAAATTTTAATTCTTCAGTACTGTCATCGGATTGATTTATAGAAGCGATGTCACTGTACACTTAAATATCCTTAAATTTTCATCAGTACGTTCGGGTATTTTAAATCATAGAAAAGATTCGGTAATTCAGAAAGAATATCCATGATTTATCTTCTTAAGAAATGCTCTCAACATAGAAGAGACTTTACTAAACCATAAACAAAATTTTAAATTCAATAACATCTCATTGTGAGAAACTGAGAGTTGTTATTTATTCATTATCGGATTACAGATGGAGGATAAAGTGGCGCTAACATCGCTTGAAGGCGGCGCGTGAGAGAAATGACAAAGCCAAACACATCGCAAAATCTTAAGGAATCCGACTATTTGGGAGACTGGAATACGGCACTAAAACATATTCCAATGGAATATGTAATACAAGGTTATGGATTTGATCCATCTGTCTAAGGATAAAATGGCTGGCTCTGGTAAACAGAGTAATTAAACGTTGGTGGTGAAGCTTTAACCAGATAAATTCGTGTGACTATTAGCTTGTGAAGGACTCAGATCTAACTAGTCAGTTACTGTTTGAAAATGATCGTTTATTACCAAACATAATGGCATAGAAACGTATTGTATAATAAAATCATA